TCATCATGAGGTCCGTATCCTTCCTGAGTTGTTCACATTCAGCTTCAATGGCTTCAAGTTTTTCTCGGACTTGTTTTTGTCCTTCCCTGATGCTTTGTTGATCCTTACTGATCTCTTGCATCTCTACTTTCAACCTTCGGAAGCCAACCTTCAGATTTTTCATTGCAGACTTTCTCTGCCCAGACAGTTGAACATAAAACAGTTAAAAGTTCCATTAAAGTTGTTTGTTTGTGAGTGTATATGTTATTTTACCTTGCAAAAATAACAGTAAACATAAAGTATAATACAAACATTTAAAGTTTAAAGTATAATACAAACATTGCCACCCATATCTAGTGACTCAAATCTAGAACATTTATTTCAAAGAAGAATATTACTACTAGACTACCTGTTCATTGACCATAACAATAGTTGATATCAAACAACAAACAACAACTAAACTCCCTCTCGAGACGAGCTTCTCTCTCTAAGAATGAGAGGATTTACCCCACCATGGGGCAACCACAATGTTTCGTCACTGCCTTCCCTCTTGCTTCCTTTCCTTTGTTTAAACCTTTCATCTCCAAAATTTTTCAAACCCTTGTACCCATAAATCACCAAATCCAACCCAAACAATAGTCCATATCAACTTTTCAAAAGGCATACAGAGCATCTAGAATTTGAGTGAAGATAACTGTTCCTTAGTGAAAATGAGCTGCGCCACTCATGATGGCAAAGATCAAGCTTGCAATCCATCTTGATCAAATAGACAAACTAAACTCAAGGGTTGATATAATTCTTCAATTTTTTTTTTTCTTTTTTTGGGCTGTGACATTCATTTTAGGTAAACAAACTTGGCTTTCAAGTTCAAGCTAGGTTTGAGATCAACTTCCTCATGTTAAAAGATTTTACTAAAATTATAACTTGATATTAAAATAGTCAAACCTGAGTTCAGTCTCAAACTTAAACTCAAATATCTTGTTTGACAAGTAAAACTTCTGTAAAGAAAATATACTCAAATGAAGGTGCAAAGTGCAATTCCAATCTAGCTCAAAATTCTAAGTTCAAGCTCAATTCTTGAACTCAATTCTCCAGCTACTGCCCTGATTACTTCCAGAAAGTTTAAATAAAATAGATTAATTCAGTTCACAAATAGTTAGAGGTATGCATTCAATAAGGTAACAAAAACCTGTTCGGCTATGCAAAAATGCAAATACAGAAATTTCAATGGGGAGATTATTCTACAAATTAGAACTAATTTCATAAAAATTGAATCCATTCATAATCGGACTAACTGATTAAACATCCAATCCTTTGAAATTCAGAGATTATGGTGTTTTAAGATCCATTGACTTCATCGATTCCATTTTTTCAAAAGAATTCTAGATCTAAAATAGAATCAATCACTTCTTTCGATCAAAACAGCAACTCAATAAAAATATAAACCAAACTTTCTCAACATGCAACGATCGAATGAAATTAATCAATTTCTTCCATAGTCCGTCAAACCACAGAACTGTTTGATTTCCTCTTATCACCTCCGATTGTTCCGATTCCACCATCAAATTTCTCTAATTCTTTCACCAAAAAAAAAAAAATTTCTCTAATTCCTTTTTGCATGCAAATTTCTATATATATATATATATAACCTAGGTCGATTATAAAAAAATTCAACTCAATACCTTTCGCTTGTTCCGTAATCTCAAGATTGCACTCCTGGAAGCCGAATCAGCACCGTAGAGACGACGACGCAACCAAAATAGAGTCATTTTTTCGATAAAAACTTTCTCTAAGGGAAACTCCTCCACTCTGGCTAACCCTATTGTGAGAAGAACAAGTCCAAGATCTCAACGGATGATATATGTATGAATAAACTGAAGAGCATTTGAGTCTCCACGCGACTTCTCGCGTTTTTGTAAGTTTGGTTGCAAGCGGTCGCACGTTTTGTTTCTATTAAAAGTTGTTATAGAGTGGGCCTGAACACAGGTAATGTGGCGCATCCCCTTTGTTAAATTGAAAAGTGAAAATGAGCGCATTCACCCTGTTAAATTGAAGAGAAAAGGGAAAACGAGGAGGTTGTGATATTTAAAATATTAAAATTATTTATAAAATTATTTCAATAATTTTAATAA